GCCATTATTTTCTCACGTAGAATCACCCCCTGAAATTTGTCGCACTTATTTACTAACACCCTGTATAGGACTAAATTTCAATATTTCATATAAAAATATTATAGAAGTGAAAAATGTGTTCAGAAAATAACCGAACTTTTTGAATTACGCGCTAATTGAGCTAATTGTTCCTCGTTTGATGATCGAACAACAGAAAGAAAATCGTATGAATGTTTGTCGGTAACTTCTTGAACAATCCAATGACGATGAATCTTTCATTCAAAGGATCATAACGGGAGACAAAAGTTGAGTTTACGGCTACGACATTGAGACAAAAGTTCAATCATCAGAATGGATCGGCAAAACATCTTCACGCCCCAAGGAAACACGTCAGTCTCGATCCAAGTCAAAGTGATGCTCGCTGTGTTCTTCAACTTTAATAGAATTGTGCATTTTGAATTTTTACCTCAAAGTAAAACAGTGAACCATGTGTACTGTCTAGGCATTTCACAATGGTTACGAGAAAAAATCCTCTAAAAGAGACCAGAGTTGTGGCGAGACAACTCATGGTTCTTGCACCATGATAATGTTCCCTCTCACTTAGTTTTGTCAATTAGTCAGTTTTGTGCCAAAAATCAGATTACTGACCTGTCTCACAGTCTTTATTCGCCAGAACTGGAACCTTGCAATTTTTTCTTATTCCCGAAATTAAAAAATTAGTGTTGAAAGAACGCCATTTTCAGACAAAAAAATGACATCAAAGCAAATTTACCACAGACTTTAAAGGACTGCTTCATGAAATAGAAATACTGCTGGGAAAAGTGTATAAATAGGGGAAGGGAGTACTCTGAAGGAGATACAGACCAATAATGTATAAAATCCTTGAACCTACATATTCTTCATTTTCTATCTTTACTGATCTAAAACATATGAGGTTTCTCATAAGATTGTTTGTTACGAGGTTTTGAAAACAGAGGAGCTTTTAAATCTTCTCAAGCACGTGTAGTTATAAAATACATTTAAATAAACTAGTAAAAACAACATAGATGATTTTATAGCGATTTAGTTAAGTACTTACTCCACGCATGTGAGTTTTAAATGTTAAGAAAAATAAAGAATTTATTTGCGAATTTAAAGTATGCGAGTAAAAAGTTGAAATAGAACTTATTTTTAAAAACCTTAAGAAAAAATACGGTATCTCCTATAATGCTTCAAATCGGATTAAGCGCTAGCCACAGAAAATCAAGTAAAAGCAAGTAGCAATACTAAATAATCAAGTGAAGTAATGAATTTTTAAAAAACTCAATTTAAAGCAGTTACGTGAATCTACATTTCTTGTTTTTTTTTGCGATATTTTATGAAAGCAAAGCTGTGTTCCTCAGTCTCAGTTCTTCTCCTCAATTATTCGGCTTTTATTTATTCGGTTTTTTTTTTGAGTACAATATGAGGACCTACCCAAACGTTCTGTGAATTTGTATCACCTTGGAAGTAGTTTCCTTGGGGCAATATTTCTAACAATTTTTTCGTAACTATGGAAGTACCCTCGAAAGACTGCTGGCGTTAGCGTTTTCTCTTTGATCTTTTCAATACAGTCAATATGGTCTTTTAACAGAAGATTTAAGAACTACATTCGGAAATAATATACTACAACCGAAGTGTATGCAGTAAAACTTTCCATTGATGCAGTGTCATCGGGTGGAACAAACTCCTTAGGTAAAACAAATATCTCTAATGTCAAACATTGTCAATGCAGATGTAATGTTATTGCCAACTTTGTACCGTGACAATACGTTCGCACACACTTCACTCATACTACGACAATATTTAACAAATAACATGCTCACTGTATCCTGTCCTCTTTATCTTGCCCCATGCGACTCATTTCTCTTTATCGAAAGAAATTAAAACAATATGGATATAAACACAGTGATAGCAACCTTCACAAGGATAAGTATACTCTCAACCAAGGAATCATTTTATAAACGACAAGAATTTGCAATATAGAAACTCAAAAGAGCGGAATGTGAAGTAAAGTTGGGTAAGTAAAGTATGTGTCAAAACGTTTGTTAACTAAACTGGCAAATATTATTTAGAGAATGTGAATTTATTTATAAAATTCAAATGTAACGCCGTAACGGTAAAATCGGATTGGATTTTTTTCGTACTCCCTCTGCAGAGTTGAGTCGATTTTCAAAATCGATTTTTCGGCATAACTTTTTAATTTCTCACTAAATTTTTGTAATCTTTCAGTAAAACATAAATTACTTGAAGCTAAAACAGATTCAAATAATATTTGAAAAACAATTTCTTCTTAATTGTGCATAGGTATATTGAAAAATTTAGAACATGACGTATTTTACGAAAAAAGTGCTGAACTAGTTTTTGTAGTGAAGGCCTTATATTCAGACCAGACTGTTTTTTATTTTCCACCGTTGACATATAGAGAACCGTAGGCGTACTGTCACAACTGTGAAGAAAAAATACACAAATCCAAGATATTTACTCTCATTCCTAAATTATTCTGAAAAAGATCCGAATATTCTAATTTTAGAAAATGCTGCATACTTAACCATTATTACACAAGGCAGGAAGCTAAAATTTGATTTGATTTTGAACTAAAATCTGCCAGAAATACCGTTTTTAGTAGAAAATTAAAAGTCAAATTGTTTACTTTAACCTCATTGGTAACGTTCAACATTAAAAAAACTGTCAATAAAATATCCAAATAGAAGTTTTTTCAAATATAACTTAAATTATGTGACATTAAATGTTAATAATCAACCGTTCTGCAAAGTTTTTTAACGAGAATATAAAATTGTAAATACCACTTTTGGAAAAATTGTAAATAAAAGGTTGTCTTCTAAAATCGGCATTATTTTCTAAGTTATCTACGAAAAAATAAAATGAATCAGTTAGTATGGACAGCATTATTTAATATAAAATTTATTTTTTTAATTTAATTTATTTGTTTATTTCTAATTATTGTGTTTTGGGTTGGAAATGTTTTTTTTTTTCAATAATAAAATTATAATACCTATCGCATAATTTAACATATAAGAAAATGATATATTATTAACCATTTTAAGTATAAAAGTTCAATGGCTAAATTATTTACCCTGAAATAAATGGCATTTATATAAACGGTGGGAACAGCTTTTTAGTTAAAGAAAAATAATTTCGCGAAAACCGTAAATATATTTAGTTGACATTAATATAAAAAAAAGTTTGTATTATTAGGTCTTTTCCCTATGGAGGAATTAAATCTAGTAAAACTGAACAGGATATTTAATGTTATGGACATTACTATAACATAAATTATTTATTATTATTATTTTTCTTTCACCACATTTTGAGATGAGTATTTAGTTTACTTTTTAACGAAATGAAGTTAGAAGAAGTAGGTACCTATATAGGAGAGTAACATTCTCTTTTGTCCAATTTCTTGGTATTCTATTTTACTATTTTAATAAACTGTATAGCTGAAATTAGCTGCTCATTTCTTTATTGTAAACGAATACAATTTCCAGACAATCTGAGACCCTTAATTATATATAAAAAACTTATTTTTATAATATACACGCACTTAATAGTTTAAGTAGAACCAACTGAAAACAATGAAAAATATTTACATATACAATTTTATACGTGGCAAAAAAAGTAAACAAACTTCGAGGACATCGCATCAATATAAAAGAAATGTGTTCCTTAAAGTGCCCTATAAGAAAACTACAGCCAGTTGAAGGGTAGATTATAAAGTTCAATGTTACTTCTCCACAACTGATAACAAAATGTTTTGTATATAAATATTTCAAATCTATTTTAAACTTTGCGTAACATTCGGTGTTGAAACAAAATTCAATTAGGATTTGGAAGAGGTAGTTTAGGCAAGGATGAGGGATGATTTCTATAATAACTTGTTTATTTTTTCAACTATTGGCGCGAACAACCACTTCCGATTCACATATCTATGCATTTTATTTCAACGTTATAAACATATTTTAGAGGGGATGTTCCTAGGAACTTTTTCCATTTGACGAATATTACAAGTTTGTTATTCTATCTTTTATAACCCCACTCAACATAGTACCCAATATTCCTCTTAAAATTGGTAGAGTACACTTTGTTGGATAATAAACAGTTTTGGAAACACTATATGTACATATTTGTCTTTTTAACATTTATCATAAAACTAGAATTTATGCTCTGTGACACTGATCAATCAATGAAGCACCTTGAATCTTTCTTCAAAACGTGCGCGCACTGCCACAAACACGCAGACACTTGCACATAGACCTTTTTATTTGAAAACAATGCTATTTACTTGCATCAAATCAACATATATAAGGACTAATTTTTACTGAAAATTCCTTGGAAAATTTGAAAGGAAATTTTCTTTAATATATTTTTTTTGTAGGAGGAAAAATCATGGTCTCTTTTTGAGACTACGTTTTGCGCTATAGTAACTATTTATTATACTTCAACAAATAATATTTTAAAACGCTTTTTTATATACTTAGTTTTCTCATATGATAAACAAAATCTTCATAATAAGATTATTTTGACATATGAATCTGTGTTCTAGACTAATTAAAATTATTTTTTAAGTAATTTATAACAGAGAATTTTTTGAGAAAAAAAAAATAGTAGTTCAAGAGGTCGTTTTAACGAGAAATGTTACGTTTATTATTAATTTTATTTTTATATAGGTATTTTATATTTTATCTATTAAGATGTCACATATTGCTTGTTACCAAATGTTAAATAGCTTTTAACTTGTCCCTTGCAACCTCTTTCCGCTGAATGTAAGACAGACATTCAAATTATTTTTTCTTCTTTTCCGCACAGCACACAACTTTACAACCAGGTATGGAGATATCAAATTTCTCTAAAAAGGTGTAGAAATTTTACGAAAAAGTACATTTACATCAGTCTTCTCTGCATTCAACAAAAATAGATCATCTCTCAAATGGTTATTCAGAGGTATATGATGTGTCCGAAACCCCTCTACTTCTTAGGGTCGTGTGCAAACCTCTACATAGACTAAGAGGCAGCGGATCCTTCGCCAGACACTCGATTACTAGTGGTTGTAGTGAGGATAACAAGGGGCCCTTTTTCCACCACATTCGACACCGAGAAGGTACGTCCCTTTACACGCGAGTGGTAGTTTTTATTTTTAATGTTGTACCTACTGTAGTGAAAGTGTTAGAAGGAAAAGTGTAAGCGTTGCAATTTATACGAGACCACATTTTTGAGTGTTTATCTTTAAACGGGTCCGAAACGCAACACTTTGTGTATATCATCTTCATGATGCCATATTTGGTGGCAGTTGTAAGATTCGAAGTTGGCTAAGTGCCAGTGCAACTCATCTAGAGGAAATTAACCGTTTTCTATTTTTATCTCTTTGGTGTTTGTGTTACGGCATTGGCCCCGGGCCAAGTGACCCAGTAGAGTTATTCATATTCCTTTAGACCTCATGGGCTTTAGATATTATATTACTATTATGAAGCTGATATTACGTTGACTAACGTCCAACATATAACCAAATTTAAAAATGAAATTGATATAAAAAAAATGATGAAATAACTAATGCCCAAAATTATTAATAACTTTCATTATTAAGCCCGTCTAGTACATACTTCGGGATAGTTGATATAATTTGTATATCTGTTATACAACTTTATTTAAAAAAATCGGCTTATTTCCCTAAACGGTCTATAAATAATATAGAATAAACGGATTAGTGTATTATAATAGAAAATATTTTATTTTTTAATCAATTCATTGTTTATTATCGTGTTTTATAATTGATTTTTTTTTTAATTAAATAATAATTAAAAGTAAGTTAAATTAATATGAAAAATATGGTAACGAAATATTAATGCTCGAAATTCCTTCGTTTCATTCTTACATATTACATCCGTCTAGAAAAGGTAGGAAGAGTTCAAAGGTGTTAACATTAATAACCTCTTAAAGTTTATATGATGTTAATAAAAACATAATAAATGTTTCTACTTATTTACTTATGCAGTTTATAAATAGAATAAAATAAAATAATTCAGTAACAGGACTTCTGTATTTTTTTTTAATTTATCGACTTGTTTGTTATCATGTTTTTTATAGACTTTTTTATTTTATAAATGAAATTACTCTGAAAAAAGTAAAGGCAAAAGAACTAATGCGAGAAGTTATCTTTTCTTTTCATCATGTAAATGTACTACATGTGTCGAAGGTGTTAAGTAAATTTAAATTAATAAGTCAAGCGCTAATATATTTTCTTAGTTGTTTCCTTCAACTGTCCTTTGCCTAAATTTGCGTTCAAATACATTAAATACTATTTTTATTTCAGACCGATATTTCATCAAAATGCCTTTCAAACCAGTCGAAAATCCAAAATGCCCCAAATGCGGCAAATCAGTATATGCTGCTGAAGAACGTGTGGCTGGGGGTTACAAATTCCACAAAACATGCTTCAAATGCGGTAAGGCTTATTACCATTAATATATTTTTTTTTGACTTGTAAATATATCTACATAAAATTTTAACATCTTTTAAAAATATTTAAATTTTAGCAACTTAAATTTTTTTAAATTAGAATCATCTGAATTATAATACATATAAAAGTTTAAAATTGTTATTAATTTTTACTATAATATTTCCAAGGTATCTTTAACTAAATCCTAATTAACAGTTTTCTTATACATACTCGTAACTTTAATATTTCAGGGCTTTGCGGTAAAATGTTAGATTCCACCAATGTAACTGAACACGAAGCTGAACTTTTCTGCAAAAATTGCCACGCCCGCAAATATGGACCAAAAGGTTACGGCTTTGGCGGTGGTGCTGGTTGTCTTTCCATGGATACCGGCTCTCATCTTCAAGGGTAAGCATTTAACCTTAGAGTTACTTTAATACAATATCTCCAGTCGAAGTAATATTTAAATCCCAAAATTATTTGGGCTGGATGGCATATAGTATGAAGAAACCTGTGGGTATCGGTTAAAAGAAGGCTACTTAGATTAAAGAATTCTATCAGATTGAGGGCTTTCCTTATCTCTGTCATGTTCACTGTATATTGCTGACGTTCTTGCGTTCTTGCCTTATATTGCAGCTAACACTTCTGAGTATGTTAACGTATACCTACCTGTTTTCATTTGTTTGTCGGTTTACATGCATGTAATGTAATTAATTAAAAACTGGAAATGATGTACCTATTTAATTTAATTTGGTATGCTTAACACAAGTCAGACGTGTTGCTGCGAAAAGCCGATGCCAAAAATAGTGAAAGTGTTAGACCTGTGCATGATTTTCCCTCTTTACCTCCTAGCAACTAAGAAGGAATTACCAAGAGGGCGGCCCGAAACATCAGCCACAGAGATGGTGTCGTCATATCTCTACTTTTCCATCCCACTACAATATTGTGTAATATTTTTTAGATTTTATTATCAAATAGAATTATTATTTATAAATTTTCATTTTACATGGTAAATAAATATTCGATTATTTTGTAATAATTGAATAAATAAACTAAATTTAAAAAATAGAATTTTTGTATAAAGCAATATTCAAAAAATGGTTTTTGAAATTTCAAAATTTTTGTCTTATCATTCGGTATTAAAAAATAACTATGCAGGTAATTAAGCGGAACTCTGTTTTCTGAATATTGCCAGTGGCCCCTATGTTTCCCCAAGTGTTGTACTAGTGATTTCCCTAGAAAAAAGTAAAAGTCGTGTCAAAGATGTGTATGTGTTATAGTTGTCTTATCGAAGGTTCACAGTGCTAAAGCAAAACGGTGAGAGTTTAATTGTATTGACTAAAAGCATGGTTATGCTACCTGCTTTTATGCATATTAACAGCAGTTTCATGATATAACATTCCCCCTAACAAGAAGTAGTGGGATAAGGAGAGTTCCCTCAATATATTTGTAGTAATAAAATTTCTTTTAGTAAATCTGAAATTTCGGGACGAATTTCACCTTCTCCTGTTACAATAAATATTTTATTTTTATGTTTTTATTTCAATTAAGCAGCTTTGCATTTTTACACGGTTTATTTCTTATTTACATACATACTCTTAGCGCTTTACTAGTTGCTGCATATATATTTTTTTTGTTTTATGTTAAGGGCCAATAAAAATTATTTTCTTTTCTAGAGATGACGTAGTACATACAAGAGCTCCACTTCTACCAAGAGCTATCGCAAAAGCCCCAGAAGGACAAGGATGTCCAAGATGTGGCGGCTACGTATATGCCGCTGAACAAATGCTTGCTCGTGGAAGGGTAAGTAACAACAATTTTAATTTAAATTCTTCAATATTCCAACAGTTAATTAACGCGATAACTGTTACATTCTAATTTTCGTATCATATATCTCGATTGAATAAAATTGTCTCCGCTAAATCGCCTTTAAAAACTTAATAAAGTATCTGAATTAATTTAAAGAATAAAGAAAAATGGAATTACAAGCAATATATTAAAATATTGTATTATAACTTTAAAAAATATACCATATTTATTTATTTATTTAATTAATTAATTAAAATTTATTTGCCATAAAAGCTGGAAGATTTTAATCTTACCTTACTGGTGGCAGCCGAAGAATAAAATATAAGTAAAAGGCGAACGACAAGCAGGTTTTACTGTTAAATAATCTAGTTGATTTAAAATCTCGGGACAGTAAACATTATTAACCAAGAGCTTGTAGTCATGTCGACGTTATGGACGTGGAAGATATCTACCGCCTAATCGAAAAACTAGAAATTTTAAAACATTTCTGCACAGAGTCGATTAAATTTATATGAATATGCAAAGTAATCCAAATCAGTGAACGGTTGTCAAATTTAAAGTAATGAATTGGACAAAGCGAAATAGTTGAATGGCCAATACGCTCCTCAACACCTTTATTACCTATAGACAATATACAAATTACTGCATAGCCAACATTTCTGCAAAATAAGTGTAGAACACTTTGATTTTTGCTTTGAATTGTTTGTTTACTTTTCACTTTTATTTGTTATTTTATAATAAACAAAATTATAGCTCCATTTTTAAAGAAAATACATTTTAATGTCAATTTGAACGTTATTTAATAAATTCAAGTTGCTGCCAACTTGACAAAAATGTGAAGCGAAAATAAATGTAAATCACTATGAAATATTTGTCTTTGTAGACAGGTTAATGTATTAAATACTAAAATTAAATTTTACGAGTACCTAAATCGTTTGGATATATTTCAGTTTGTTCAATATTACTTACGCACGCCGTATATGTAATAATAATCCAAATCTATAGATACCCAAATAGACACCCCAGTCTTTAGAAATTACTAGTAATATTTCAGGAAATTTAGTAGAAACTCTTTTAGGAGATACTGAGGTCAGTGACGTGGTCAGATTTCATATAAAAAGTCGCTATCAAATTTTATCCAAATTTGACAGCGAAACTAATTAAGTAGATTCTGAGGATTTAAAATGTATTCAAATAATCTGTTTTTTATGATCTATCTTTAAGAAACCTACCACCGAAGCAAGGCGCATCGTAAATGTCTTTCTCCAAGACTGTATCTATTTTAAATAATCACATCGTGTACCTGTTAATAATGGACTATGAGAGCTCCTGGTTTTCATAACAAAAAAAAAAAAGAAAAGNTCATATAAAAAGTCGCTATCAAATTTTATCCAAATTTGACAGCGAAACTAATTAAGTAGATTCTGAGGATTTAAAATGTATTCAAATAATCTGTTTTTTATGATCTATCTTTAAGAAACCTACCACCGAAGCAAGGCGCATCGTAAATGTCTTTCTCCAAGACTGTATCTATTTTAAATAATCACATCGTGTACCTGTTAATAATGGACTATGAGAGCTCCTGGATTTCATAACAAAAAAAGAAAGGGAAAAAGAAAAAGTATACCTACTGTGAATAACAAAATCTCCACATAATTTTGGAATAGGCCTTCATTTTTGGAATAATTGTTGGAAATAACTAGTTCACAATCTATTACAAAAACACTGACACTCAAACAAAGCAAAATTTAATGATGTTTGAAACAACCAAGTAATTTTTATTTTCATTATACTTAATCTTGAAAGACGGATGCATTTATTTGCATATTATACAAGGTGTTTTTTGGCTCATGTCATAACTTCAGGAGGTTGCTCCTTGGGGCCAAAAAGCTGTATAAACCAAGAATCTAAAACCACTAGTTTTTGAAATATATAAAATATATAATGATACTAGAATTGGGAATTGTCCAGATGACATTTCGATTAAATGAAAACAGTGACTAATTTGACTAGGATTTTTCCATACGAATAGGTATTGCTTGTAACTGATTATAAGTTTAATTGAAACACAAAACAACATTTTCTGTTTGTGTCTATTTTAATAATTGAAATACACATATTGTAGATTAACTACAATCATGTGATTCGAAAACTTTATTATAAGTTGAGCTGTAAACAGAAATTTGAATAGTTTTTTGAATTAGAACTCATTTTTTTAATTAGGAATAAAAAATCTGCCATTACTTCAGAAATTTCCAAAGAAAAAAATCTGGTTTGTGAAAATGTAAAACTGTAGTAAGCCAGAAATGATGAACTGATGTTACTATATTTTAAATAAGTTTAAATCAGTGCCACGCAACTCCGCTGAAAGTTGTACTATGATATAAGTATCTGTTTTTGGCCTTCTTAGGGTTGGCATAAAATATGTTTTCGATGCAACAATTGCGAGAAGTGGTTGGATTCTACGTCACATTGTGATGGACCAGACGGAATGGTTTACTGTAGAGGTATAGATAGCCTCCGAGTTTTACCCATTTTTGCATGTTTTTTTCTTAAACATGCTGTTTCATGAGTTTATCCCCCTAAATAACAATCCGTTCTGTGTCTATCCCATTAACAATATGTTACATTTCTATTTAAGGCCTTCCACAAGTCTTGCTTCAAATGTGGTGACTGTACCAAAGGTCTGGATTCAGTTAATGTTACTGAAGGTCCCGATAAGGAGATCTACTGTAAAGGTATGTATTTTTCTTTACTGCTTGCTTGATCTCGTGATAGGTAATTGTGAAATAGTGAATTAAAAAAAGGAAATAAGATGCATATTTTTTGTAAAATATACGCTTCCAGAAATGCAATAAATGTAGAGAATACATTCCTCTGAATCAAATTTAATTTGTGCTGTACCTACTGTTGAGTTCAGAGCACTTCAAAGCAATTATTCTTCACAACTTCTTGACACACTAAGTGAACATTTAATTATTTAATTTGCGATTTCAACGTATTGCTATCATTTATTCATAAGTTAAATAATCTATGTTGTCTAGTTTGTTACGGTAAAAAATTTGGACCTAAGGGATACGGTTATGGTCAAGGAGGTGGTACTCTTCAGAGCGACTGCTTTACTGTCAGGTAAATTGTTTGTGTTCTTCCCTGATCTAAATAATTGCTATATAAATACAATTCAGAATTATTGTACTCAAATTTTGCTGCTTGATAATTATTTATTTTATCATTTCGTAACATGGACATTTTCAAATATTTTTTTAATACCTCTTTAATAGAGATCAATTATAATAAGTATTTTCACTTCAAAACGATATTTGTATTACATAATACATATAAATTTTCATAAAAAAACGTTACGTATTTGTACGAAGGGAAAATACTTTCTACCAATTTTGCCAATTGCTTGCCTGGCGCCCACAAAACATTAAAATATTTTGTGTATAGCCTGCTATGCTCAACGCTACGGTCCTCGTGGAATTGGACACGCTGGAGGGCTTTTTCTTGGACTTATGTCCGATGCTTTGGATCTTGAATGGCAGAGGTATCTTCAAGTAGTATATGTTTTCGTAATTTATGCAATATATGTTTTCGTAATATTGTCTTGCACGATATTGTCTCTAAAAACAACCTCTGTCACTCATTGTTGATGTTTAAAAGGAATACGCATGAATTGTGACCTAATTCGCTGTTGCAGCTTAACTTACGTCGCACATTTTAGTTACAGGGTGTTTCATTCATTAATAATGAGAATGACAGTTTAATGAGAAATTGATAAGGTTAAAATAGGCTTACTAGGACAAACACGCCTTAATCAAATGTTGCTTTTTTCACTTTACAGAATTTCCAAAAAAAAAAACAAGTCGAAATCGAAATATAAAAAAATAAAGAAGTCAATAGGTTTCGTATTTTCTCAGGTTTTAGATTAAATTGCTTAACTATGAGAGCGTAAATATGAAGAATAAAATCGGAAATGGTAAGAATAATTAATCAATAGCTTCTGAAGTAGGTAAGCTTTTTGGGGGTATGCAAGCTGTTCTAAAAAAATTCTGATTAATCGAAATTAATCGACAATGACTGGCCTGTCTGGCAACCAAATAATTTTTCAATTTAAAAGGTACATTACATTTATAACACGTTCTTATGACTACATATATCTTCCTCACAATTATAGGTGAACTTTAAATTACAATGGAAAATTAAATTGTTATATACATACCTCTATTATTATTACGAAAAACTAAAAGAACGTTCTATTTATACTTAGTGCAACTGCCTAAGTCTATAACGGATCCTACGTTACAAATTATTACAACAAATCCTATTAACGTTTTGTTTCCGAGTTATATGTTCATAATTAAAAAAGGTATGTAGTAGTTTTAATAGTGGTTATGTCGTGTCCTTTGAATCTTAAATCGCGGCCAGTTACAGATTTATACGAAAATGATTTTAAATTGCAAAAATCATTTGAGCCACTTAAAAAAACTGCTTCACTCATATACAAAGTGGTTACTTGATTTGATAGTCATTAACTAGGTACATCAAGAAAACAATGCGAATTTAAATGAAATTAATTTTAATTTTTTTATCGATTTGGCCAAGTGTTTTAGTTACATTCTGTAGTATAGTGCAGTATAACAAAAGAGGATACTTAAATTGAAACACCCTGTAAATATGTATACACACACTTTTATTTAATTACTTATATTTGCCACACATGGGACATTTAGCCCATCGAAAAATTTGTATGTTGTATAATCAACGCATTTTCCCTTAAACAGCGACCAAGCGCCCAAGACTACAGTTATTGATACGGCTACAATCAAAGCAAAACCCGGTCAGGGATGTCCTCGTTGTGGAGGAGTAGTTTTCGCTGCTGAAGAAGTTCTGGCCAAAGGGCGCCAATGGCATCGAAAATGCTTCAAATGCAAAGACTGTACTAAAACTTTGGATTCGATTAATGCTTGCGATGGTCCTGATTCAGATGTGTACTGCAAGACTTGTTATGGTAAAAAATGGGGACCACATGGTTATGGTTTTGCTTGTGGTTCAGGATTCCTCCAAACTGATGGTTTAACGTGAGTATTGCGAATGGATTTTTATTAGGCACTCGGTCTTAATTATATCTTTATTATTTCCAGTGATGATGAAATTTCCGCAAATCGACCTTTCTACAACCCTGATACGACCTCTATTAAGGCCCCGCCAGGACAAGGTTGCCCAAGATGTGGAGGAATGGTTTTTGCTGCTGAACAACAACTGGCGAAAGGAACTGTACGTTGTGTAGTATTAAACGGTGACTTAAAACATAAATAACATAAATCATTTATAGATGTGGCACAAGAAATGCTTTAACTGTGCAGAATGTCATCGTCCTCTAGACTCTGTTCTTGCCTGTGATGGCCCAGACAGAGAAATTCACTGCCGTGCTTGTTACGCTAGACTTTTTGGTCCTAAAGGTTTTGGCTTTGGTCATGCTCCAACCCTTACCTGCTCTGACGGCACTGCCCCTGCAATGCACGATCCTCGTCCAAATAGTGGTCCCAAAGCTGCTCCAGGACGCGGTTGTCGTCGTTGCGGCTATTCAGTTTATGCTGCTGAGCAAATGATTAGCAAGAATGGAATCTGGCATAAGAGATGTTTCAGTTGTAACGACTGTAATCGTTCTTTGGATTCTACTACACTCAACGACGGTCCGAATGGGGAAATTTATTGCAGAGGTGAGAAAAAGTTTATATTAGCGGACGTGATAAATGATAATATGCCTACTAAATGAAAAAACATAGCCCACTTTCTTTTAATTAAGTTGAAGAAATTAATGATTTTACAGCAATACGAGATGAGCTACGGAAATAGAAATCTCATTATAAAATTAAATTATTAATTTTGAAAAGGTTTGGTTTTCTGTCAATAGATTTTAATTTTAAATTATTGTGCAACTTGCGGTAATACTATATGAAAACTTTATGAAATTTTTGTCTGTTTCAGTGTTGCAAGATAATTACAACACAACACAAATATTTCAAAACTATACTGTTATTTTAAGCGAAACTTCTTTCCGATAACTATTTGATTGCTTCTTAGAAGATCAAATATTTTAATGAACCTATAATTTTTAGGTTGCTATGGAAGGAACTTTGGTCCTAAAGGTGTCGGATTTGGTATGGGTGCAGGTACTCTAACCATGGCCTGAGCAGTTTTGGACCTTCAGCCTCTTTCAATTTAAATCTTTAAAATTCATTTACTACTAAATAAGCATAAGTTAATTTAAATCCAATGAAATAGATAAATTGTATCAGAACACAATTAAACTAATAAATATACAAAATCGTATTTAAATTGTAAAACACATTCAGCAGTAGGTAAGACTTTTTTGGTGTCAATTTGTTGTTGGCACTGATCCACTTTTCATAGTTACAGATTAAATTATGTAAATGCTTAAATTATTTAATTGCCACACCATGTAAACATTTTTATTTATTTAATTTTTTTTGCTATAAGATATGATGAGTAGAAATATACAATTATGAGAGATCTATAAGACTCGGCTGGTACGTATATATACATGTATGTATGTATATATACTTCCTCAAAGGAAGGAATAATGAAATATGAAAGGCTTTGCGAACGACCAGGTAAAACTGAGACTTTTTGTACATATATTTTGGTGGTCATGTTTTTGATGGCCAATCGATGATTATACCACATATATATAGTTTTACGCTTTAACTGTACCTACTTAATATTTGTTTATGCTTCTTGAAAATTTTTTTGTTTAGTGTAATTTCGTTTATTTAAATAAATATTTTAAAAAGTAATATTTGTTTCTATTGAGAAATAATAAAATTATAAGAAATTTTGTTCGGTTGCCATTAGAGATCAGGTATACTGCAATTGATGTTAATTAATTTTAACATTAATTTTATGTAGGTATGTAGGTAGGTGTGTATTAGGGTGAAACTACAAAAAAAAATGGGTTTACACAAATATTTTTTTATAAGGGATGAAATTAAGATAAGTATTCGAAAATATGGAAATTATTTGTTTTATGAATTTATTAACCTTTCTTTCTTTTGGATGGGGCTTAAGGACTGTGAAGTCATTGCATTTTTTTCTCAATTTCATAATAATTTTTTACATAACTTTTAAGTAATCCCGTTTTCAACATTTACTAAAAAAGTTCTTCGATATATTTTCTCGTTTAGAAGATATAAGTGATATGAACAGAGAAAATTACAAATTGGGACATCCCTTAGCTTTAGCAAGGAAGCTTTGACCTGTCCTTGTTGTTCTCGTGATAGGATGTGTGGGGGCAGAAATAACTGTATATTTATCTATCTACAATTAATTTTAAATAAACAAAACATTTGCTATGGTCAAAAGTCAGGATCTGACTATCGTCGGAAGCTTTCCAAAAATAATAAAACAACACATGAGTACCCAGGCCTACCCTCACATACCTTACACATAACTTTTACAACATCCTACTGTTTAAATATACTTTTCTCGTTTACAGCAGATAAATCTATTCAAAACCTCTCTTTCTAAATCATTCGACTATTTACCAATCATCAGGCCAACAATGCAAACCGACCATGTCACCTTTGCTCAATCAAAATTGGCTGTATCATTGTATGTAGCACCGAAATAATTCGTGGCCAGACACATCCGTGCTGGAACCACACTGTTACACACAGCTAACCACCCTAAGATACCCCATACGTTAAAAGAAAATCATGTCACTATAGCTAACGGTCCTTCATAACAATTTACAACAAAATAATAATAGACAGGCTAGTTAGTAAGACATTATTACCCATTTCTATTATTAATTCATTTAAACACTACTTAATTAGTCAACTGTATGGCAAAACACTCACTTTTTAACTAACAAATACAAGAACTTCCATTATCTAGTCCTCTTATTAACACTGTATTTAAAAGCACACACATACTTCACGTTTTTTTATAAAAATGAGAAAGCACAGACAGCAATGTTAGCATCACCCTTGCATGAAAAATCATGCAAAATAATGTCGTTGAGTAGGTATAGATGCTGGATTTTTCAGGTTCACAAGATTACCTTTTGACCTATCCATTTCTTTAATTAATAGTTTACAAACGATGATGGAATTTCTGGAACTACACATATTACTTATATTAGAGCAGGTTTTGCTTCAGCTACAAATTACTACTGGTGATTGTAAAATTCAAAAATTAAGATTAAGTTTAGATGATTATATATTTAAACAGTTTGTTTTAAAGAATTAGGGCATAAGTATTTAAACAATCTACCAATTGTTTTTTGTTACACAAAGAAACTAATTTATCGACAAAGACATTGCTGTAAAAAAAAACTCAGCTCAGGAAACTGAAAACTTCCTACGTGTGGAGAAATATGTCACGCGATGTAACAAAATTCATAAGAAAATGTCGACTTAATAAGATTAAAATTAAACAAAGTACATACACCATTAGTAACCCCAACCATTGGGGTTACTATCAGTTTGTTTCGTTAGTGTAGGTTTTATAAGCAAAAAAACTATAAAAATGCGATTTTTTGCATAGAAATGTTTATAAAAAATTAATTAATGGTAAATTAGAGTAGGAAACATATACATGTAAGCATATATCTACAGACTGTGTTTTATATGATGGCACAGTCCGTTTGCTACTAGTATTTTTGTCACAAACAAAGCCTCTATTGATTGGCCTAATAATAGAGCTTGATTTAAAACCGGGAGTGCTTGTCTCAGTAACCAATGGAAGTCGCCATAAATTTGATTCATGGGATAATGGTCCTTTCATTGTTGCTAGAACGGAAAGTCCAAATTGTGTTATTAAGGATTATAAAGGCGGTAAATAGAGGTTTGTTAACTTAGGTGTTTTTGATAGTAATAGCTTAAAGAAGAATTATCCGGATTTATTTGTTGCCCTATATAGAATAGATCCTACCCTGGAAGATGGATTGGTACAAATAGGCTAATTAGATGGCCAGCAAGGGCGCTAGATCTAACGCCTCCTGATAGTTTTCTATGGAGACATTAAAAGATATGGTGTAAACTGAGCCAATAAAAGATATGGCGAACTTAATAAATAAGATTTATGTTAGCCGTGCCACAATTATGCGTCGCTCTTTACTTTCTTCTTGGATCAGGAACTACGGTGTCGAGTTATTAGCGAAAATGGAAATGTTTTTGAACACTTTTTGTAGTTTAACGTTCTTTAATTTGCATATTTTATTTCACTATTCCTTAAAAAAATTGTTAAATTGTCATGTATAATTTTATTATTGTACTATTGTGTAAGGTAATAATTCGAAACTGTAAAATACGCTTGAGTTTCGGCCTCACCGACTGAAGAGCCCGATATATCTGAAACTATTAAGTTTTTTAAAAATAGTCATTTGACAAAAATTGTTTAGAATTAAACAGATAAACTTTGTTACAAAGAAATTTGTCGAAAGAAATTTCGACTTCAGCGCCATCTCCAATTTGCTCTGAAAAAAATCAAGTTGCATTCCTTGACGAATCAAAATCAAAATATCTTTCCGTTGCCGAGATACGAAGCTGAGGACTTTTATGTGAAACACTCGGTCTACTTGCACAAACGTATTGCAATTAACTAATAAATCATTATGAAGAAAACCTCAACATTTTATTCAAACCTTTTTACATTTCCTTTATCTTCAATATTTGAGTTAGAGAATACCTAACTCTCTCTAATCCACATTATCTCCAACTGAAATACATTATGACTGATCTAGGGGGTTTCAGTTAACAAAATTCCACACAATATTTCTACATTTCATAGAAGGATAAATAAAACAATGTATTTCTATTTAATTTTATCTAAAATTTTACATAATCTTATGTACTAATGGACTAGAAGGGTCATTTTTAAACATCGAATATAACAATATATAGACATACATTTAAAGTAACTTCATACACAAATCTATTTACAAATTAAATGCAATTTTAGAACTGCCTCATTAGTATACATTGATTTATTGATAAATATTTACAGTATATTCTCAAAAATTAGTTACACAACTAAATAACATAGCAATTCATCGAGATCATTCAAGAATTCAATTTCAGTAGTCGTAAAGATCTAAAGTTATGAAATATTGTTACATATCCTTTAAAAATACACGGTAATCTTGTCAAATATAATGCTCTTTGATACCAAATATCTAGTATGCTAAAGTTTTGCAAAGTATTTTAATTACAGGCTGTACGTAATTTAAGCCTATATATTAATTCAACTTAAAAAGGAGGTCAATTGATAATGCAAACGGGACAGATCATACAGCAGATGTTAGAATAAGAATGAAGGGATATTCTTTTGAAAATTGATTTTTTTTAATTTTGTATGATTATTAATTTATCACTTCACATGAAGATATATTTCTTTAGCATACTTAGATTTTTTGGTATCAATTTGAATTAATATAATACAATTATAGTAAAATAAGATACATAGTCCAAGAACTAATATGTAAATACATAATATGAATAAGGAACTTTACTCTTCATTTATTCTTTAGCTTTAGTGTGCGACCACAATAAAAGAAGGGACATAATAATAAAAAATGAAAATGTATTGAAATGTATTTTCGTAATATAACGCCACTGAGATATAGAATTGTGGTTAAGACTTGAGACTAGTGGTAATTCCTTTTCCAACATATACAATTATGTCGAGAAAATATAAATTGAGTTTCAAATTTGCTCAGTCTAGCATAGCAGATTGCTTCGTTATTTCATTTTTATGTGAATGTGGTCTACGAAATACTAATATTTCTGAACCAAGTAACAGAGAATTATTCAAAGGTTGGCAGAAAGAAATTACATTACATTTTGAGCAATATATGGACAATAATTTTAAATACTATGAATGAATGACTGCGTACATTACTTCACAAATCTGGTGTTCTCAACACTTAGATATTTCACTTATTTCAAGGCCGTAAATATTGTATAAATAAAATTCATAACTTGTGAAGTTAAACAAACTGGGTAAACATAGTGCATGAAGGTATATTTGCGACCAAACTAAGTTTTGCAACATAACTAAAAAATAATAAAAATGAAAATAATTTCAGATCTAATTACTGGAACCGGAAAGAGAAAAGTAAATTGTAACTATAATGAATATAATACTTATACACTTATAAAATTCTTATATAACCAGTCCTCTGAAGACCTTAAGATAAAAAATATTTGAAGCTGTATTCTAAATTAATGAAAAAACAATTTATAGTAATCTATATTTGGCTTTGGAAGAAACATTAAAATATGTTAATGTTATGAAGGTAATGTTATGATAGTTTCAGAAGAAAAACCTTAATGCGGTATTCTAGGTACACAAAAAACAATATTGAGCAGCTTCATTGATTTCTAATGAACCCAGCTAAACTTTACTCGAGGTATAGGGAGCATTACTACTACGTCGATTATTATTATCCGGAATAGTAACTTTCTAAGCTTATTTATATCCCAGACTTTAAGGATCATTCAGCGTTGGGCGCCGACTAGCGTTGCATTATTGTACATCAGAGTAATAGCGTAAAAAGAAATGTTCCCAACAGCGGTTTCAATTAAT